AAATAAACTGAATTGAATTGATTGGATTTTTGCATAAGCTTCATTTCATACCTTTAAAACTCTCCCAGTAAACAGAAACACCTGAAGCTTTTTTTTTTTCTCCTCTCATTTTATTATTGTCACGTTGAACAATTACATTATAGAAACATACGGTCAATATAATTCAGTTACAAAACAATTTCCGCCAAAGCATGAAAAAATAAAACCGTTATATTTACACAGTTACAGTTGAAAGCCAGAGTACAATGTGAGGCAAACAATGCTGCTTTCAGGGGATTGAATTGATTTCTTTAATTTTACAGATGGCCAGAAATGACAGAAAAGCTGCATGGTTTCAATAGTCAGTTTTGTGTTTTTACTAAGCTGTAAAAGGTAATGCAAAGATTAATCAAGAGGGTTTTAAAATTGGAAACATTAAACCATTAACAGTTTGTTAAATGATGGAACTTTAAAGAAAAAAACCGAAAAACATATGAGGACTAATTTGGTGCAACACAATCATGAGGATATTTTGTTTAATATGTCTCATCTTATATCTTTCAACTGTATTTCTGAAAACAGAACATCCTTTTGGAGGTTTGTTGGGGTTGCATTTGGTAATCAAAACCAAGATAACAATAAAAAAAAAGACAAATTTAGCAGAGAAGAGAGCAGGAAAAAAGTTTGTTCTGCTTAACACCATAAAAAAACAGGAGTGGATCCCAACTTGACTGCCACGTTTTATTACAACTCATTAAAGCACAGACTACAGCAGTATCAGTGCAGCTTTAACAAGACACACATGTAATCTCACTGTTCAAAACTTCAATAGTCACCAACTCTCTTCACTACAACCACAATAAGCTGCCCAAAATTTAAATATTTGAACAAACAAAAGACCAAATCAAAATATGGGGGAATAATGCAATAAAAAAAAAAGTATATTCCATATTTTTACAAGATGGTTGTTATAGACTTCAAGAAACACGGAGCCCCACTGGAGATTAGTTTATGCTTCCTGATCTACAGCAACCCTCAAGTGCTGAGTATAAATGTCAGGCTGTGCGAGTCCAGATACTTTAAGCTGAAAATCTGGAGGAGCTGCTATATCTATAATTCTTGGGATTTTTTTTTTTAAATATATATTTTCTTAACCTTCATTATGAACCAATCTGAGAGTTACAGTCACTGAGTTAAAATACAAACTGCACCATCATAAACGTTTCTAATTTCTTTTACAACAGGAAAACCTTATACACCATGTTAATTACAGCTTTAATCCATAATTTGTTCTAAGTACAAATAAATTATAAACATGTACAATTAAACACTGATCATTCACAAAAAGGAGGAAAAAAAAAACCCAAACACAAGCACAAAAAAAAAGAGATTCAAAATTTCTTTATAAAGTGTAACGATTATAACGATTAGATTAGGAAGAGTAGGCAGCTCAGTTTGCTGTATTCACAGATCTCAGACCTGTTTGTTCTCAGACTCCCTTCAGATTAAAGGCAGATGGCACATGTATGGATAAAAAGGTGACAAAATACAAACATCTGTGGTTGTCTTGGCTGTGTGAGGTCACTGAGGCGATGGCAAGGAATGCCCAATCCTCCGATTGTAAACTGAAGAACGGGGGGAACCTGTCTGAAAGCTCCTACTGCAGACTGAAACCCACCACGGCACACAATAGCACAATAATTCACCAAATAGTAACCACAATTGATGACATTTGGAGCACAGCCCCATCTACGGTCAGTATTTGCACCTATTTCACTGAATTTGGGCATTTCTTTAACAGAAGGAAACAGGTTCGAGTCTCCAGACTTTTTCATAAAGGAGGATCTAGTGAGCAAGACACCCTGCAAAGTGTTAGGATTTTGTTTTTCCTTCAGTGCTAATTTGTTGGGCAACAATTTATGTCCACATTTTACATAAATATACCAAACAAAATAAAGAAAACAAAAGCTGTGACAGTTTAGCTACCGTGTGTCACGCTCTCATCGACACAGTCCTGGTGAGATCTACTTAAATTTAGCTTTAAATGTATGTATTAAAGTTTCATGTAGTCATCTCTTTTCTTGAAGCTTATATGGTGCTTTTTTTTCTGTTCTCCAGTTTCCAGTGCTTACGTATCAAAGCAAATTTTAGGGATAAAATTTAATATAGCTTTATTTGTTTTTAATTTAATTTCTCTTGCTAAGAATAAGCTATCTTTTTTTCATTTCCACTTTAATTTTCTTCATTATAAGCAACAAGCTCCACCACCAAAAATCACATTCATTAATTTTTCAAAAAATAATTTACATTTTATCATCTTTAGAAGCATTTATCCAACTATCCTGAACAAACCACTACCGTTCTAAGATCGCTTTATGCAGTATTTACTGGCAATCCTGGTAAAGATGTGCTAAAACAGTGAAATTACACAAATCTTTTAATGTACATGAATATCCTCCCATAGAAAATTGACAAAAATTTATTTGAACACATTAAGAAATAATATGCTTCCTAAGCAGTACGGAAAAGTGCAAAGGAGCACATTTACTTGTACTAAAATTTACGATAGTTAACGGGGAAACAAAAAATGAAGTATGGATAGATCTTTTAATTTTTACAGACTTTTTCCTCTATTTTCTAAAGAGACATAAATTAATTCTTCATATCTGCAGTGATTTTCACACTGTTTTGAATAGAAATGATTAACTTCATCATTCGTTTCCCACATCAGATTTAATTTTGACATATAACCCAACGATATTTGTTGCATCTGTTGGAACGTAATTAAGTGTCTGTTTAGATTTCAAATTTAGCTTAATCTACAGTTTCTACAAACCAAATTAAGGTCACAATCTGTGCTTATTACAACAAATGTCAGGCCTATTTCGTGTTTTGATGACCTTTTTAACCTCTCGTTAAAATAAGGCATTTTTTTCCCCAAGGCATTTAAAGGTTCATATTGTGCATTTAAACTGTTTGACAAAATGTAGTAAAAGGGAAACATGTGACATTAAAGAAAGGTAGATGCATATTTATGCTCTATATCTCAGGTAATAAGTGTTTGACCAAATATCCTGATATCTTGAGTGAGATTACAAATAACGTGCCAAAAAACTGGAATTAAATAAAAAAACAAAAACAAGAACCAACCGACGATTAGCAGAAAAGATGGGAGGTATTTACTCAAAGGCACATCTTTAACAGGTTTACCGACGCCTGTGGAGAGCGGCGCTCTACATTTTTCGTTTTGTTATTTTTAAGTCGTTTTTAAATTTCTAGTAAAGTGATCAACACTGTCAGCAAAGCGGGAGTTAGCGACCGGTTCTGAGGTAGCTGGCGGTATTTAGTTGAGGAGATTTGGTGGAAAACACATTCACCTCTGCAGTGCCGAAGGCAGACATAAGGGGGCGCCACTGATGTTACTCAGATGGTTTTAAAAAAGGAAAAAAAAATTAACAGCATAATGTGTATAGACTATAAACTATATGAATTAAATAATGTATTTAGTAAAGGTATTTGATATTTTTCCCAGTGGCTGTGTCAGTGAGTACTGGAGGAGCCGTTTAAAGGCCTCACTTCACCCCCCTGCTACAACTTCAGATGAAACGTCAATTGGGACTTTAAGGCATTTAGTGACATCTTTAAGGGACTCGTGTTCTTCATGAGAAGAAGCACGTGAGCACAGATGCCAAAACTGCAGCTGATGGGAGAAGGTTTGAGGTGAGTAAGGTCGTAATTTTTTTTCAAAGTGAGGCTGTCTGATTACATTAACAGTGTGGGGAAACATCTCTCCATGTCCGTCTCCAAGCTATGAGGTTGTTAAACACAAGCAGAAAACGGTACCGGATCTCAGGCACTTGGTGTTAACGCACAGTTCTACATCTTCTCCTTCTTGGCCTCCCGGGTGCTGCTCTTCAAAAAGTCGCTCCTGAGCAGCCGGCAGAAGAGGATGATGTTCATGACGGTCATGATGGCCATTCCCACGCTGCCCAGCGTGTAGGCCAGCAGGGGGACATTATCCCTGTTCAGCACCAGCCAGCGGGTCATCCAAGCCAGCGTGTTGATGCGGAAAACCACGTAGGTGCCCAGGTTGATGATGCTGTTGACGCGGTAGAGTGTGCCTGCCGCCATGCTAGCCATGCGCAGCATCTGCCTAAGGTGGAGGAACACAGAGTTTATCTCCACCAGCAAGGCAACCACGGCAAATCCCACGTAGCGACATGACACCACGGACAGGCCAAAGCAGGTGATCACCTACAGAGGGACACAAACAGGGGAAGAAACGTTAACAGGCTGTAGCAATGGCATCCCTCTCCATTCTCAGATGTCAATGGTCAATTCATTTTATTAAAATAATCAAAAAGGATACTAAATGTTAAGTGATCAAATATGCCAGAAATCTGGGCCAACTATTACCTCGTCATTTAAAAAAACACATTGAACTGTGGATCTCAGTCCCTCTAAGCAGAAAGGACTTTTCATAATTTCTAAAAGATTATCTAAGAGATTAAATTATGCTGCTCTATGTTTAGGATGCTGGAGGACATAGTGGCCACTTTCCATCACTCTGCTTCATTCTCTTTCTATTCTCCCACTCTGCAGTATTTAAGATCCATTTATAAACCATGTTCTTTCTGCTTTCTCCGTAATAGTAGCTTCAACTGGTCTGTTCCTATTTGGCTGTGACTCCATCCTGGATTTAAATATCAGCTGTGCTGCTGCCATCAACCTCTCTGTTAAAAGATGTTGGAGCTTGAATTGTTTTTCAGTGTAGTCCTGTTTCTCTTTGTGTGACCAACTGCATGTGCTCTCTTTCATCCTCTGACAAGAGCATTGGCTCGTAGCTTGTCTTTCTGGCTGTGCCTTTGTTGGAGTGGGCCACCTGTGGAGCTCCTTGACAGTTAACTTTTGTATCTATGCTACTTTCTGTATATCTGCTTCTGTCTCCTTAAAGCCCAGTTGGCCTCAGAAGATGGCCGCCTACACTGACCCTGGTTCTGCTGGAGGTTTTTTCCTGTTAATATGCAGTTTTTCCTCTCCACTGTCGCTACATTCATGCTCGGTATGAGGGATCGTTTAAGAGTCAAAGACAAACGCAAGCAGAAAACGTCAACACAACCTCATCCAGGAGGACCATGTCTTGCAAGTCAATAACTCGATGCAATCAACTGATTTTCCTTGACAGTAACTTCTAACTAATCTGACGGTATTGTCTCTGTAAAGTGCCTGCAGATGATGTGTTGTGTATTTGCGCTATATAGATAAACTGAATTGAAAATAAACAACAGCACGATGCAGTATTTCTAAAATCTCTAGATTTCTTTAAAATCCTTTAAAATCACTTATATAACACGGAGGATGCCTGAGAAGGGAGGAGAATGTCGTTAAATAAAGACAAGATGACCTTTAGCACTAAAACATAACAATCAACTATTAGATAAATAAAACCTCAGAAAACCACATCAAGTATGACAGAAAGTTTTCATACTATGACCCTGTTATCTCTGAAGGTGCTGCCTTTGCGTTTAATGGTTATGTATTGAAATTCATTGTGATGCTTTTGGAAGGTCAATGCACCTACTCCACCTTTGTGCTGAATTGTGCTTATGAAAGGCTGTGATGTAACAGATGGACTCAATCCACAAGGTGGCAGCAACTTCCTAACAACAGCCGGCTCTACAATCCCAGTCTGTTGCCTTGATTCTGAAAAGTTGGACAACTGCACACCTCTGAGAGGAAACCGTTACCAAACGCGATCACAGTCGCAGTGTTGCTGGTCTAAATCTACATGACAGAGGTGTGTTTATATGGAAACACTCTGTGGGGTACAGCTTCATGTGCTCAGAGCTAAAGCATGCTGTCAGACATCTTTAACCACCTTACTGAGATGTTTACAGACAGCGAAGGGGCAAATAAAAGGTGCAATTCAGCTCTTTCACTGGACAGCGCAGTCTGGGACATATGGGATGACCTTTATCATCCGCTGAAGGGGCCACTTGTGTTTATGCATGCGTCTCCCGTGTGACGTCACATGCTGTGTGTTGTTGGTTAAGCAACTGGACATGTGAGGGGGAGCAGTACACATCATGCTTTACAGCATGATGCATTGAGGGTCAAAGGTTTGCTTTACTAAACACATTTACTTTCCTGCAAAAACCTCACATCTAGAAAGCTGAAGGGGAGAGGTTCACTGATCTGTTTGGAGCAGAGATGATGCTGGAAAATAAGATGGAAACAATCTGGAGTGACATCAACCCAAGAAACACACTATCCTGGAAAATCAATCAAACTTCTTCATATTTTCTTACATTATAAATATGAATCCTTTTTATTCAACTGTTTGTTTGTTTTTTGTGATATTTCACATACAAAAACGTATTGGACACCATACCTTTTTGTGTTCGTATCTTAAATCTGTGCTTCAGATTGATTATGCAAGCCTTTACCCGGTTACCCTCCTGTTAAATCCAGTGAAACTGAATGGTTGTTAGACATAAGTTTAGTGTAAATGTCTGACTGTGTCAGTCTTTGTCCCAGCATGGCTGTTCTGCACAGGTCTTTCTGTTGAGAACATTTAAAAATAACCACTTTAATGATAATCAAACCAAAACCTGATTTAAAAACTCTTAAATAAAAAGGCTTTCTTACAGTAAATGTGATTCACAGAGAGTTGGTTAGTAAGCAAAAGTATCAGGGTTGGATAGAAACACTAGAGTTAGGTCAGAGTTGTGGTAAAAATTAAAAACAGATAAAAAAATTTTTTTTTAAATCCTCAACAATAAATAGCTCTTCAGTCTGAAAGTGGAAGAAACCCACCAGAAAGAAAAAAAAAAACGAAAAAACTAAAAGTTATCTACTTCACTGATCTGGTCTTTATCAAAGAGCTGCAAATTGAAAGCCTTAAGAAATCCTTACTGCTGTCATGAAGGGGAAACAAATTTCCTGGAAAAAACGCGCTCGGACTTACATCTTAAATTATAAGTGTGAAAGTCAGTGTTCGTTTTCCACAGTTAAACACGGTGGTGGCAGCATCATGATGAGAAGACAAAAAGAGTTCCTATGATGGCGAGAAAACCTGTTGACTTCAGCAAAGGAGAAAAAGAAGTTCACCTTCCAGCCAGATGAGGCAAAGTCCTCACCTAACTATCAAAGACTTAAACACTATCAAAGTCAGCTATTTTACAATGAAAAAAGGCAGAAAGTATTGACTAAGTATCATATTAGAGGGAAATAAACACCAATCGATTCTGTTCTTTTCACCTTTTTTCCTCTGTGCTCCTTAACATTGGTTCTTCACATAAATCCCAATTTTTCTTTGAAGCTGAATCTCAGAACTCATCAATGCATGAGAAGTGCCAGGATGCTGGTGATGAAGCCAACAAGAGCCAAACATTGCTTGACCACAAATAAATACAATTATCATTTAGATGTTATCAAGCAGCTACTCTAAAGCGGGGTGGAAACAGAAAGATGGAAATTTGGAAATAAATCGGAATAAGTAAAAGATCTGAATATCTGAAATCAACAACAACCCAGATAAGGCTGCCTTTGTTTTTTTTAATCTAAGTTTAATGTATTTACTTTGTTTTAGATGTAAAAACAGACATTTTGAATCACTTCTTTTCTCTTACTAAATTAAATAAATATTTTTTTTTTTTAAAAACTGTTGCATTTATTTGTTCTGATATGACAACTTAACGATTTGAAGCCTTTAAGTGACAAAAAAGTTGGAAGCAAATTCAATAAAAGTGCTTATTGTGTCTTGTCACAACTTAATCTTAAAATCCAGATTTAGACTTTAGAGCAAGAAGTTTAGGAATCTCCTGCCTTACACCTCTGACAAAAAGGTAAACTCTGTTTACTCAGACAGAAAGAGGTTTCCTATTAAAAATCAAACAGATGTGATCAGACCAAACCCAACACACCCTCAATGAAAAAATCTGTGAGATGCGTGGGTCCACTTAGAAAAACGACACATCCACATAAACGCACATAAATCTCAGGAGCGTTCTGATCTGATCCGCTCGCTCTCAGACAAGAGAAGCTCTGACCAAAACCACAGAAACAAGAGGGTCTTTAAAAGCTGCCTTATCTAAGGTCTAACTGCATCAGATAAAACGCGACAAAACGTGACGGCAAAGGTCATAACAAACCCTTATACAATCCAGAGATAAGACGCTTTGGTAACAGACCGAGTTACTATGTAAAGTAATAGTGGAAGGTGATATAAGTCAAAGCCCTTCATAAGGAGGGTAATAATGAACTGCCCAAGGTCTTTTTTTTTAGACTACATAACATGTTTTCCATATCTTTTATGGAGGTTTTTACTGCAGATGTTCTGTAATCAAACGATTGCCAATAAACACAGATAAAAACTCTGAGACACACAAGACCCTCAACTTAAGTTATATATCACTTTTTCAAGGCCTCCATAAGTCAAAAATCTGATCCTGGTGAAATCCTTTCTGTGAAAATGAACACGAAAGAAATAAAAGATGTCAGAACTGTAGTCAGCATCCTGCACTAAAGCGGATCAGAATAAACCTCCCACTGCAGCCTCTGGATCTATCATGATGGGATTGATTCAGCATTAGGTGGATTTGCAGCACAAAGCTCTGCTGATGCGCCGCTTCTGTACGCAGCAGCTTTTTAAAAGAGAGGGATGAATTGGGCCAGCAAACGCTAGGGCGTAGTTTGGGAAGTGAAAAAAACAAATTGGTGTGTGGTTTCTAAACACTTTGAAGAAAGGAAAATCTGAAAAGTGTGGCATATGTTTAGTTTCAGCAGCATTTATTGGAGGGAAGCATTGGGGTATCTCGCCAAACTGCTTTTCACATATACACATGGAAGTTTAGAAGATTCAGTGAGATAAAATGTCATTATCTCAGTATTTATTTCAGACTGGTTTAACAGATTTCTATGGTTTTTATTATGGATTCAAGTGGCCATTACAAAAAATGGAAGCTGGAAGGTGAAAATCTGCCATCAGCCTCATTCATTCAGTCCAACCAGCTTCTAAAAACCCATCTTGATTTGTGTGTCAATATGGACAAAATCAACTTAAGCAAAATAAAATAAAAACTTATTTCCATATTTCAACAAACCCCCCCAAAAAGGGTTTACATTTTTGTTTTGCCCATCGTTGGAGAATATAATTATACAGCTTGTTTTTAACAAAACCATAAATAAGATATTATGCTTCTCCGGAAAAACAAAGCTGTATGTTTGTTCGCTGCATCTTCCTCCCTATGGGC